AGTCACAAGTATGTGCACAACTTTTGTTGCTTAATATGTATATATGTATGTATACATATATATTTTCCTTTAAATTTTTCCAATTAGAAAATTCAATATTACATATTCTTTCCTGAGCCCCTTCACCTGTTATGAGGGAGGAAAAATATGGTGAGTTTATTTTTGCAATTAATCTATAAAACAGAATTCCATAACCATATTAGATAAATAGATAAATGTACAGGTAGAGGTAGGCATATGGATGAATGCATAGATGGACACATAAAGAGAATATAGAAATAGATTGAAAGAGGGATGCATACATATATTAAAAATTATCATAGTAAGAGAGACAGCTCTTTATTAAAAATTGAAGTCTGTAGGGCATAAATGTAGTCATTGGCATTAGAAATTTAGGGGCATTTGGGACGGCATTTCATCTTGGGCATGGTACCTATCTTTGTTCCGAATATACCAGCCTTCCTCCTTTTCCTCCTGACATACTCACCAATTTCCTATCTTTGGGGGAAGGTCGCTTCTCTTTAATTAATTTTCAAAACAGATAATAAGGCTGTGCCAATCTGGGGGTCTGTGTATGAATAGAAACACACATATTTACTCTTACACTTTACACTCATGCACGTTTTGGTCTAAGTGTCTAACTGGGATCTGAGGTCAGTGGCTCTGACCTCTGAGGTGTAAGAGCTCTCTCTTTCCCAGTTCCTACTTTTCCCAGTAAGAAATCTCTTGTACTTCCTTAGGGGCATGCTTATATTTACTTTCTCATGCTGTTTTTCCAAGGGGTTGGTTTTGGTGTTGTTAATTTTTTCTTATCTTTTCCTCCTCATCTTCTAATTCTTAATTGTGTATCTCTTTATTATTGTTTTGTCATATTACCTCATATATTTCCAACAGGTCTGTAATTTTTGTAATTTTAATAAGTTTTCATTCAGTGGAATAGTCATATATATTAACACAATATCTTTTGCAATCTCTTTCCTTCTTTTAACCAGTCCTTCCAAGTAGGTCATATAGCAATTTATGGTCTAATTTTTGTTTACTCACTAATTTGTATTGAAACCCCAGTGAATTATTTATTCTGCTCCTTCAGGACTCAAATTTGCCACAAACAAATGAGGAAAACACAGAATTATTCCATTGGAGGTGAATAAAATAAATCTAAATGCGTCTTAGGTATTTTTCTATACAATAAAAAGCATTATTTATTGAGCATGCAAACATTCTTTTAGATCTTTATAAAAAAAGTTTGGCCATAGAGGGTCAGATCCATAAAGACCGCTCTTTGGCTTTAATTATTTTAGATGCAAAATTTTGTATCTAAAACACATTAAGACTAGTACTTCTTGCTCACTGTCATTCATATTTTTTCCATATGAAGAACATTAATATGCTTAAAAATCCCACAATCACCTTGGCATCCCAATAAAGTATGCAGTCACAAATATGATTTTTACTGATGGAAAAATTAAGGTGCAGAAATGTGCAATGAGTCCAAGTCATATACTAAGTATCTTTTCTTACTGAAAAATAACTTCTGGAGCGCCTGGGTGGCTCAGTTGGTTAAGTGTCTGCCTTCGGCTCAGGTCATGATTCCAAGGTCCTGGGATCGAGCCCCATGTCCTTGGGCTTCCTGCTCAACAGGGAGTTTGCTTCTCCCTCTGCCCCCCTTCACCCTGCTCATGCTCACTCCCACTCTCTCTCTTTCTCTTTCTCCCAAATAAATAAAATCTTAAAAAAAAAGAAAAATCACTTCTACTTCAACTTTTAAATCATGCTTAATGAAGACATCATTTTAACTTTATGTCATGCTATAGTTCTTTATAAAAGAGTGAATTTTATATTCTGGGCAAAGGGAGCAGATATTTGGAGTGGACTTCCTTGCAAACATATTGCTGAGAGAAATGTTAAGGAATAAAAAATATCATTACCTGAGTCCCAGAGTTGAGAGGTGAGGGAAGAGCTTTCTCCACACTGGAGACGTCAAAGGCAAGGTACCAGGCAAAATGTGTGGGAGACATAGATTCTCAGGTCACGATGGTAATGCCAAAAAATACACCAAAAAACAAAAAAAATGAAAAAACTAAAGGAGGCAGTTAAAGAATGATTAGTAGATGAATTAGCCAAAACTCCCCAGACCTCCTGGTGGATGCCTACTTCCCATTATCTGGGCCACCAGTTTTGCCAATTCAGTTATAAAATATAAGGGCAATCTTATCTGCCACTACTTAATCCCATGATTTAAATCAATCTAGTTATTTTTACCAGACTTCCAAAGCTTTCCTTTGCACATCTTCCACATAGAGTTGGATGAAGCTGATAGGGCAGTTGATGCAATTTTGTATCCCTTTCTAAGCTTTTGTATATGGTAGTTTTTTTGTTTTTGTTTTGCCTTAAATACCTTAACCCCTTCCTCCCCACCCCATTCCCCCTCAATCTTCTCCATTCTTGGAGATCAAGCTCACTTATTACTGCTTCTGGGATCCCAAGAAGAACCAGACACTCCTCACTCTTGTCCCACATTAGAAACTGGCAGGGCTGGTGGGGAGAGGTGGGGTGGATGTGGACCAGAGAGGGAAAGAAGGCACTGAAAAGGACTATGAGGTTTTCAGCTTGGCTTCTGCATAGGATGGGGATAAGGGGAATGTTCTGACCCACACAGCCCTCTGGAGGAGTGGTAGTAAGTAAAGGCATGTGAAGGCTGAATCTAGACCTTAAGGTTTTCAAGAGAACTCTACCCTCTTTTCTGTGTATGGGGCTAACTTTGCTTCAGAGGCTGCAGCCATCCCCACACCAATGAAAATGGCTGGTCAATCCAACGGCCTTGTGTCCCAGATGATGAAGTGTATACCTATGCCCTCATTCCTATTTTTTCATCACTTGGTAATTATAAAGTAAGTCAATTTGCTTGATTAGCAATAGGCCATACAGGAACAGGACTCATAGAAAAGTTGAAAGACTAGTACAAAGATTTTCCATATACCTGGAACCCAGATCCCCTAAATGTTAACATTTTACCACATTTTTCTCTCTCTCTCTGTAGACATTTATACAAGTATGTATGTATGTAAGCCACATACACAGTTTTAAAATTTGCTAGCAGCCACATTAATAAAGCAGGTAAAATTAATTGTAATATCTTGTTTGCCCCAATATCTGTATGTTATCATTTTAACATGTAATCAGTATAAAAATTAACACAGTATTTTCTTTTTTCATACTAAGTTTCTGAAATCTGGTGTGTATTTTACACATACAGTACATCTCAATTAGTAGCCACGCTTCAAGTGCTCAATAGCACAGTGATGGCTACCAGTGGACAGCACAGAGAGTGTGATGATCTTTCAAGCTATGGGACTGGATGAGTGAAAGAGAGCCCAGGACTGGGTCTTGGAACACTTGAACATTTAGAATTCAAGTCAAAGAAGAGGAGCTGACAAATGAGACAAGTGACAGCCTAGTAGACTAGGAGGAAAACAAGGCAAACGTACTGTCAAGGGGACCATGAAGGAGGAGACTGTCAACTGCATCAACTGATGCTGAGAAGTTGAGTAAGATGAGGACAGAGAAGTGATCACTGTAATTGAGAAAATGGAGTTGTTAGTCATCTTGGCAAAACAGTTTCATTAGACCCAGGGCTACTCTTTTGGAACCGAAGAGAGAATGGGAGGTGGAAAGTGGAGACCTCATGTGCAGACATCTCAAAGGCAACAAGTTCCAAACTAATTTATCTCCTCTGACACTCTCCCCCACTCTCCTCTCTTCCTTTATTCTTCCTAGACCTCTATTTGAGGCCTATGCTAGATATCTGGGAGACATTCTCGAGTCCTTTTCGTTCAGACCTTATATGCTATTATTCACAAAGTCATCCCCATTTCACCTCCTAAATACTTATTGTCTCCTTTGCTCCATCCCTATTTCCCCATTGTAGGCTCCTGCCACCTCTGATCTTCCTAATACCTAGTAATCATCACTGTAATTAGACCGCTAGGATTGTCACCCTCAAAATTCTTTTCGTAAAGCTTGGAGACACGCAGAAAGGCGGGGATCGAGTGGTGTTGCCAGATTGAATTTTTAAAAACACAAATCTTGTATTTTTGCTATTCTGCTAAAAATCCTTGCACGGATCTTCATGGAACAGCTTTAGTGTTCCTACTCTTGAGTTTCTTCTCTTGCAATCCCAAATCAACACACACACACACACACAGACACACAGACACACACAGAGTCCAGTTCTGTTTCATGCTTGCATCTTTATTATCCCTCCTACCCACCCCTCCCCTTCTCCCAGTAACTCATCCCCTGAAACAGGCAGCACGACCAGCTCATTTGTACTAATTCTTGCTTAGATACCAACCTCAAGAACCTTCAGCATTTCCCACCCCGCTCTATGGCTACTTTACTGCAACGCTATCAAATCTGTGCATCTGTTCTCCGTTTCCCAAATGCCCTGCCCTGGCTTTTCAATAAAATTCAGTGCTTTTTTAAGTCACAGTTCTCACCACATTCATGATAGTTTTTTTAAAGTACAAGTTTTTGTCAATGTCTCCAACTAAGCCGTAAACTCTTTGAGGTCCGAGAGCTCGTCTCATTACATTTGTGTTCCCAGTACCTGGCACGTCACTTGACACATCATTAGGTGTTCAAGCAAATGTGTTAATATTAGGAGCAGTCAAAGAGGCCGAGGAGAGCAACGCTGCGAGAAGGGCGGCCCGTCTTTTCCTGTCTCCAGCCCACATCGGATCACGCAGGAGGAGCCCGGCGTCGAACCGGACGCGAGGCCCGCACTTCTCCTGCTGGAGCTGCGCGAGTCTGCAACGAGGGCAGGGCAGGGAACAAAAGGACAGTGCTCTCCACGGCGGAAGGCCGAAGGAGGGAAGCTTAAAGGTCCCCCCCAAACAGAACGAATGGCGAAACTCCGCCTCCTCCTTACCTACCCGGCCGGTCCTGCTTGCCACGTGATCAAGGCCACCCACGTGAGCTCGGCTCTGCGTGATCCGTCGGGGCGTCACGTGAGCTACAGCGGCCACGTGAGCACATTCTTTCCCGGGCTCCGGCAACATAGTTTTCTCTCCAAGTCAACATTCTCGCGTCCCGGTCTTCCCCCGACCCAATGGAAGAGGAAGATGAGGAAGCGCGGGCACTGCTGGAAGGCGGCCCCAATGAGGCTGGCAGAGGTGCCCCTGCCGTCTCGGCTGTCCCCGGAGCGCTGCCGGCCCTTTGCGACCCTAGTCGCCTGGCGCACCGGCTTTTGGTGCTTTTGCTGATGTGCTTCCTAGGCTTCGGTGAGCATCTGGCCTGATGGGGTGGGGTGGGGTGGGGTAGGGTGGGGCTGATAATCCAGAAATTTCTGATTTTCTCTGGGATCTCCGAGATCCGCACTGAGCTCAGAGCTGCCCCGCGGCCTCCGTGCAGCTTCTGATTTAAGCTCCTGAGCTTCCTTTTTTTCCCCTTTTTGGGACTCCACTGAAGCCTGTGGACGTTGCTAGCCCTTCCGCGTCTTGGAGGTGGAGGTCAGGGGACTGAGCTGGGCGAGTTTTGTCCCTCACTTTTGCCCTCCAAGAAGTCCCGGAGGCTAGCAGCTCGCCCCCTGGGGCCATAGAGTTAAAGGAATTCCTATTTCTTAAAACTCCTGTCGATATATTGTTAAGAAGGAATTCAGAAAGATTGAACTACCCACCTCTAAGCACTATCTCCCTCCTCCCCCCCCCCCGAATGACTAATAGGTTAGCAGTCTGTTATGTTTCTCATCGTCTTTGGGTAAATACATCAATGTGTCTTGCTGATAGCTTCAGTGAGTAGATGTGTTCTCTTACTCTTCCGCTCAGCCACTAGTGAAGTAACCATACTGGACTCGTGGTAGTCTTGGCGGTATTTGGTTTGTTACGAAATCTGATGACTCCGCAAACAGTTTCTTGAGGTAATTTCTAAAACATCTGCTTGTATTCCTGCAACTGATGTATTCAGCAGCATTTTAATGTCAGTTTGGTATGGTATGGAGGTCACAATGTGTTTTTCAGGGCGCTCGCTAGAACCTGTGTAATCAACAAGTTTAGGAACATTATGGTGGATAACTTTATGCTGCTGCTGGAATATGTAAACAGGCATGAAGGATGCTTTGGGCTTAGTTTCTTTGCAACTCTTTGTTCACTCCTTCCCCCACACTTTGTGGAAAGATGATGCCTATCCAATAGCTTTATGCATGGCATAAATATAACTGATAGGCGCCCCTGTCAGTTAAATTACTTTAAATGTCAGTGCATGGGGCGCCTGGGTGGCTTAGTCAGTTAAGCATCTGCCTTCGGCTCAGGTCATGATCCTGGGGTCCTGGGATGGAGCTCCTCATTGGGCTCCCTGCTCATCGGGAAGCCTGCTTCACCCTCTCACACTCCCCTTGTTTGTGTTCCCTCTCTCACTGTCTCTCTCTGTCAAATAAATAAAATCTTAAAAAAAATATGAGTGCATGAATGTCAAACCTCTCTACATTTCTTTCTTACCCCCAACAGACATTATCATCATGTTTTAATCTTTTCGAACTCTGTTTTTTCAGTCCTGATGCTGTATTCACTACAGTATTTGATCTTGGGTATTCTGTTTGTAGAGCTAGATTATTGTTTCAAATATTCATTCAGAGTAGTTAAACTCTGTTCCTGTGCTCTCATGGTAAGTGGTGACCTCAGGTTACGTTATTAGGAAACTGCTGGGGATGTTTGTGAAATCTTTAGTGTGTGTGTGTTTTGGTAGCTTCAAATAAGGAAAATAGAGCTGCATGAAGATGCTAAAAAAAAAAAAAAGACCTATGAAGCATAATGAAAGTGAAATGACAATTAGTTGTTGATTAACTTTATTTAATTTTTATTATGTTCAGTTAGCCACTGTATAGTACATCATTAGTGTTTGATGTAGTGTTCAGTGATTCATTAGTTATGTATAACACCCAGTGCACATCACAACATGTGCCCTCCTTAATACCCGTCACCCTGTTACCCTCACCCCCCACTGCGCTCCCCTCTGAAACCCTCAGTTTGTTTCCTGGGGTCCATAGTCTCTCACGGTTCGCCTCCCTCTCTCATTTCTCCCCCTTCCCCAATGGTCCTCCGTGCTATATCTTATGTTCCACATGTGAGTGAAACCATATGATAATTGTCTTTCTCTGCTTGACTGACTTCACTTAGCATAATCCCCTCCAGTTCTACCCATGTCGATGCAAATGGTGGGTATTCATCCTTTCTGAGATGGCTGAATAATATTCCATTGTATAAATGTACCACTTCTTCTTTATCCATTCATCTGTTGAAGACATCTCAGCTCCTTCCACAGTTTGGCTATTGTGGACTTTGCTGCTATGAACATTGGGGTGCATGTGGCCCTTCTTCTCACTACATCTGTATCTTTGGGGTAAATACCTAGTAGTGCAATTGCTGGATCATCGGGTAGCTCTATTTTTAACATCTTGAGGAACCTCCATACTGTTTTCCAGAGTGGCTGTACCAGCTTGCATTCCCACCAATAGTGTAAGAGGGTTGCCCTTTCTCCACATCCTTGCCAACATTTGTTGTTTCCATTCTGATTGGTGTAAGGTGGTATCTCATTGTGGTTTTGATTTGTATTTCCATGATGGCTAATGATGTTGAGCATTTTTTCATATGTCTGTTAGCCATTTGCATGTCTTCTGCCCATTTTTTTGACTGGCTTATTTGTTTTTTGAGTGTTGAGTTTGAAAAGTTCTTTATAGATTTTGGATATCAGCCCTTTATCTGTAATGTCATTTGCAAATATCTTCTCCCATTCCGTGGGCTGCCTCTTAGTTTTGTTGACTGTTTCTTTTGCTGTGCAGAAGCTTTTTATCTTGAAGTCCCAAAAGTTCATTTTTGCTTTTGTTTCTCTTGCCTTTGGAGACGTGTCTTGAAAGAAGTTACTGTGGCTGATGTCGAAGAGGTTACTGCCTATGTTCTCCTCTAGGATTTTGATGGATTCCTGTCTCACATTGAGGTCTTTCATCCATTTTGAGTTTATCTTTGTGTATGGTGTAAGGGAATGGTCCAGTTTCATTCTTCTATATGTAGCTGTCCAATTTTCTCAGCACCATTTATTGAAGAGACTGTCTTTTTTCCATTGGATATTTTTTCCTGATTTGTGAAAGATTAGTTGACCATAGAGTTGAGGGTGCATTTCTGGAGTCTCTATTCTGTTCCATTGGTCTTTGTGTCTGTTTTTGTGCCAATACCATGCTGTCTTGGTGATCACAGCTTTGTAATATAGCTTGAAATCAGACAATGTGATGCCCCCAGCTTTGTTTTTCTTTTTCATCATTCCCTTGGTGGTTGGGGTCTTTTCTGGTTTCATACAAATTTTCGGATTGTTCGTTCCAGCTATTTGAAAAATGCCAATGGTATTTTAATGGGGATTGCATTGAAAGTGTAAATTGCTCTGGGCAGGATAGACATTTTAACAATGTTTATTCTTAATCTAGGTTCCCAATATTTGCTGTATATGCACAAAAGTAATTTGTAAATGATTTGGCATGTTTTCTCTGCATTATTTGGCTACAACTTAGAAAATATTAGTGGAAGGGAGGTGGTCCCTGGGTGTCAGTCCTGGAGCGCCTCCTATAAACATTGAAAATCACCAATTGAATAATATTTGTAACCTGAAACTTCTATATGGGCAGTATTATCACTTATAAAATGTTTGCTCTTCCTTATCCTAGGCAGCTATTTTTGCTATGATAATCCTGCTGCCCTTCAGACTCAGGTTAAAAGGGTAAGTTGATTTTTTACTTTCTCTGGAGTAGGGATAGCTGTTGAGGGAGGCATCATCAGGTCTCAGATTGCCTAGTCTGAAATATTGTCCACTGAATCCATTTTAACATCTGTAGTAAAATCCATATGTAGTAAGGAGTGTTCTTGAGTTGGAATGAGTGACCACAAAGAATTCATTTATAGCACTTGTGACTAGTGTTTTACACTTTAAATAATTGCTATTTCCACAGAATTACCAAAAAGTATTAGCAGATTTTTGTTCGCAATTCACTTTCCAATTGTGTCATCATCTGAATGACAAATAATTCTGTAGGATAGCTTTTTGCTTTTTTAAATATTTTTTTTTATTGTTCTTCCATTTTTTAAATGTGAATGCTGACTGCTGAGGATTCTCCATGTCAGTATTTTTAGTCTGGTTTTGTAAAAATACATTTGATATTTATAGTTTCTTGTGTATTTAGATAGTTTTTGCTTTTTAAGGTTTTTACCTTTGGACAGGAAGAAACAGATTGGCCCTTCACATTCTAGAATGAAAGGGAAAGAAGGTAGGATTTAGTGGGGGGGACATAGGGATGGGCTAAGATTATCTTTTGCCATGTGGGGGGAACACCAATGCACATGGTATAATGGGAATAAGAATGTAGAAGATACAGGTAGGTGCAGAGGGAGATGGTTCCAGTAATGGGGGCTCTAATTGATCCTGGACTCCATGAAGCCTCTGAAAGGCATGTGGACCCAGGAAGTTCCCAGGGATCCCAGGTGTGACCATTTTTCTGGGGCAGGGGCCATAGCTGTCATGAAATTCTCAAAGCATTTAGTGACCACAAATGATTAAGAAACTCCTGTCCTACACAAAAAGAATGTTTTGATTTGTTGCTAAACTTAACTGTTTGGAAAAAAATAATTTTATTTTCTTCCCATACAGGATATGCACGTGAATACGACGAAATTCATGCTGCTGTATGCCTGGTATTCTTGGCCCAATGTAGTTTTGTGTTTTTTTGGTGGCTTTTTGATAGACCGAGTATTTGGAATACGGTAAGCTTGAAAAACATCTCACCTATGGGTAAAATATTATTAGGAAAGCACAGAACTAGATTAAGGTATTTCTATAAAGAACTGAATAAAACTCTGTATGACTGTAATAATCTACATTAGTTTTTTTTTTTTTTTTTTTATGGTTTTTATATATTCCTGGAATTGGCTTTTGAAACTTGGTTGGTATTTCAGTTAAGGTTGGGACTAGTAAATGCTATTCATGGAATATGGTAACTTAGTTATCTAAAAGTGTAAATAATGTCCTCACTTGGGATCAGGCAAACCAGGGTCTGAATCCCATTGCTGCCACTTACTGAACATCCTATTCTGAGCTGTTCCTAGCTTCCTGAGCTTTAGTTTCTTTGTTGGTAAAGTATGGTAATAATTCTTGCCTTACAAGGTAGTTACAAGGATTGAAAGAGATAGATGTATAGTATTTGGCACATATATAGTATTTATCTCTCTCAGCCCCAGTGAGATTTTCTCTTTCTACCCTTGGGCATTGAACTTTTTGTGGCCACTTCTGTAAGATGCTGAGGGAGGAATAACATTATAAGCTTTGTCATTTTTTATCCTTATGGTTGTGTATGTATTGTTAGTGGAGACTTAAAGAGGGATGCAGTCTGGGAATATTTTCAGAAGGCAGAGGGAAAAATGATGAAGCATCTTCCAGCCATGTCTGATGGAAAAGGATTGAAGAAACTGAAAGTGTTTAGACTCGGGGACTTAAAAATTTTGAAGGGTTAAGTGTAAAAGAGGAAATAAATTTATTTTGCTTGGTCTGAAGGGATGGAATTAGCTTGAAACTTCAGCGGGGCAGATTCTACTTAGTTTGATGAAGATTTTGCTTGGTCAGTTTGATGAGGGGCTATGATTTGCCTTGGGACCACAGGAAGTTTTCTAGTTGCTAGAGAACATTTCAGTAGAATGAGGGATGGCCATTTCATAAGGATCTTGAGAGGGATTTGAGTTTCAGAAGTATGGTTTACTCGTAGAATCTTTAAGGACTCTTTTAATACTGGCGTTTTATTACTCTGGGGAAACATTAATCAGATATTTGAAGTATAGAATGTGTGAGTAGGCAGATAACTTGGTTGATATTTGTCCTTTTAAAAATAGTTATTATGCTAAGTGAAATACAAAGACAAATACAATATGATTTCACTCATATGTGGAATCTAAAAACAAAACAAAAGAATAAGCAAAAAACAGAATCTGACCTATAAATATACAGAATAAACTGATGGTTGCTAGAGGAAAGGGGATACGGGGATGGGCAAAATGGTTGAAGGGGAGTGGGAAATATAGGCTTCCAGTTATGGAATGAATGAGTCACGGGAATACAAGGCACAGCACAGGGAATATAGGTAATGAAATTGTAATAGTGTTGTATGATGACAGATGGCAGCTACACTTGTGGTGAACATAGCATAGTGTATAAACTTGTCAAATAACTATGTTATGTACTTCAAAGTATTATAGCACTGTATCAACTATAGTAAAAAAAAAAAACCCAAAATCAATAAAATAAAAAGTTTTTAGTTATCGGGAATTATAACCACTTAAAATTATTTAATCTTGGAATAAATTCTAAACTCTTAATAGTAATTTTATAGAGTGTCCATGCGCATGCGGGGGAGGGGCAGAAGGAGAGAGAGAGCACCTCCAGCAGACTCCCCACCGAGCTCGGAGCCTGATGTCAGGCTCCGTCTCACCACAATGAGATCATGATGAGCTGAAACCAAGAGTTGGACGCTTAACTGAGCCACCCAGGCGCCCCAAGAATGTCAGTTTTTGAGTGGGAACCCTGGGAACTTCTTGAAGATTATTTAACAAGTTTTGTTTGTTTAAGAGATGATAATGGTTTAAGCTAAAATATGCCATTACTGAAGCCTCTGGAATCCCCTCAGAAGTGAGGACTTCTACAGATTAACGTTTAGCCTGGGAAAGCTGCTGCCTTTAGAGGCAGACCGGCACTTCATTTTTCTTTCCTTGGAGGGAATATATAGGGGTCAAAGACCGAAGTCTAGGGGTCAAAGACTGAGGTCTAGGGGTCAAAGAAGACTAAAGAATTACTGAAGGATTTGGTGACATAGTCTTAATTCATTCTCTCTCTCTCTCACAGATGGGGCACCATTATTTTTAGCTGCTTTGTTTGCATTGGACAGGTAAGAAAGTCCAAAACATTCATTGATTATGTAACAGCGACTTTTGAATTCTTGTCTGATTCCACCAGCAAAAATGTGTTTATTGAATGCCTGACTTAGTTAAGCAGGGTCCACAAATGCCCAGGTAGCATAATGTATAGTCCATTTTAAGCCTTGAGATAGATGAACATTATATTTAAATTTCACAGATTTACTAAGAAGGAATGTTAAAACTATTATAGAAGTTATGATTCATTGTAAGTTACTTATTTCTCTTGAATACTTTTTAAGTTTACTTTTTCATTGATTCTACATTTATATTCTACATTGTAGGTGATTTTTGCTCTGGGTGGAATATTTAATGCTTTTTGGCTGATGGAATTTGGAAGGTTTGTGTTTGGGTAAGTTATACATAATTTCATTCATCCTAATATATTATTGTTTACCTATCAATTTATTAAAGATTCACAAAAATATATTGCTGTCTCTTCTGGAGAATTAACCTCAAATCCTTGAAATCTAGCTATATACACAAGACTGTTTATCGTCTTATTTTTCCTTTAAAGTAAGCAACAATTTTGAGTGGTCATAGTTAACTCCATTTGGGGTTTGAATATTAAGTAGTTCTCCAAAAATATTTTTCCTGGGTGTTTTTTGTTGTTGTTGTTGTATTGAAGGTTGATTTAAACCTCATTTAGAAAAGTGTAGACCAACCATTTCTAGGTTGGTGATTTATGGACATTTTGCTATTACTTAGTGGATAATGTACAGGTCCTTTTGAACCCTGTTAAAGAGGCTTGAATGAGGGTGCCTGGGTGGCTCAGTTGGTTAAGCGATTGCCTTCTGCTCAGGTCATGATCCTGGAGTCCCTGGATCGAGTCCCACATCGGGCTCCCTGCTCAGCAGGGAGTCTGCTTCTCCCTCTGACCCTCCTCCCTCTCATGCTCTCTGTCTCTCATTCTCTCTCTCGCAAATAAGTAAAACCTTAAAAAAAAAAAAAATAAATAAAGAGGCTTGAATGAGCAAAATACCAATAGACTGATGATTCTTCATGAATTTCAGTGTCTGTTCAGTAAGTCCATTCTGAGTCCAGCCTTGGGCTTCCTGCCCTGAGAAATTCAGATGACATAACTTATTTAAGCTTTTTTATAAGTACTAGGGACATGTAGACATATATGATACACCCTAAAAAATGCTCTAAGTGAGAGAGAAGGAAACAAAATGTATATAACAATATGAAAGGGATCCAGGGATGGAGGGGTGGTCAGAAAAGACCAGAAATGGTCTTGACATCAGTATAGGGTTTGGATTAGTAGAAGAGAAGGGGAGTATTTTTGGATTAGGACAGAGTGAGGAGGGCTCAGTGTTAGGATATGGAGGAGAATCTCCTGACTGAAGGCCTAGAGGAGGAATGGTCAATATGTAGAACTTACAGAATGAAAGTTAAAATCCAGGAAGTAGGAAAATGTGGAATATGAAAGGTATTGGGCTGAAAAATGTGAATTTTATGTTTCCACAAAGTATGCACAGACAAGCCATCCATGCTGTACCCTTTTCAAATTCCTGACCCAAAAACTCCACAAGCACACCATAACAGCTGCATGACACTGCTAAGTTTTGGGGATTGTGGTATATAACCATGACCTATAATAAAAGGAATCTGGGTTAAATCACCACCTATGCTATATAAAATGTTCATGTGGGAAGAATGGTTCATACTTTGTGGAAACATGTCTGGAGCCTCAACTCAAAAGATTCATGAAAGGTTGGGTGCGGAAATCATCTGAAAGCTTGTTGACTCATATGTCTCGTTCTGGGGTTGGGACAACTTGAAGACTAGCGCTGCTGGATGGAGTGCCTAAATGTGGCCTCTCTGTGTGGCTTGGCTTTCTCATAGCATGGTGTACTGAGGGTAGTTGGACTTCTTACAAGATGGCTCAAGGCTTCAAGTGTGAATGTTTGAGTGAAAAGGCAGATTTCAGCTTTGATTACACAGCACCACTTCCACAAGATTACATTGATTGAAGCAGTCTCAATCCCACCTAGAGTCGGGGGGTGGGACATAGATCCCACCTTTTGATAGGAGGGGTGTCAAAATTTTAACTGTGGTATTTCTGTAAAAGCAGTAATTTTTCTTCTTTTGCTCATTTTTAGGATTGGTGGGGAGTCCTTAGCAGTTGCCCAGAATACATATGCTGTGAGTTGGTTTAAAGGCAAAGAATTAAACTTGGTATTTGGACTCCAACTTAGCATGGCTAGAATTGTAAGTATGACAAACCTAATGAAGCCAAACAGGAAGTAAGAGATTTAATCTTGTAATTATCTCTTAAAAATAATGGGATGAAGTGTGTTTTTGTTTGCTGTATTAGGTATTGATTTTTTATGTGTATCTGTTGACCATAGTATAGCATTTACCTTATTACTTTAAGGCATTTTTAACCTTATTTCACTTAGGAAACAGTCTAAAAAGACTAATTGAGCATTCATTAGTTCAAAGAATCTGAGCATTGGGAGGGATCTTACAGGCTTTATTTATTTATTTTGACAGAGAGACAGCGAGAGAGAGACAGTGAGAGAGGGAACACAAGCAGGGGGAATGGCAGAGGGAGAAGCAGGCTTCCCGCTGAGCAGGGAGCCCGATATGGGGCTCGATCCCAGGACCCTGGGATCATGACCTGAGCCAAAGGCAGATGCTTAACAACTGAGCCACCCAGGCGCCCCGAATAGAGGTT